ACATTATTTAATTCTTTACACTAAATTTAGGAAAATTAAAAAAAAACTCCACAAACTATAATATAAACTCAGTGCCAGACTTGTATGCAAAGGCGTATATTTACTCACTAATGATGACCCACCGTTGGAGCTTTTGGTCATCTGACCGAGGCCTTCCACTGACTTACCGGTCCACCCCTTTAAAAATTATGGCCAGTTATAACCATTTGCTATCATGGTCGAAAAGTGACAGCAGAAAACAGAGTCCTCCCGGCGGGGAATTGAACCCCGGTCTCCCGCGTGGATACTCACCACTATAATACCGGGGACTTCTGAAAGCCTCTCATGTCTTTGTATATAAATTATGGACAAATTTTATGGAGTTGAGAAGGAGAACATGGATAATGAAGGTAAGGAAACATCTCCAATGTTTTCCACCTGTGCTGAGATCGAACCTGAGATCGTAGGATAAGAGTCGAAGCTACAAACCCCTATAAGTATACTTTGTGTCCATAGGTCGGTTGGTTAATGGGGTTTAAAACCTATTAACTATACCAAGGTTATTAAAATTGCATGTATCATTTTCACTATCAGCCAAAAATATTTTAATCCCTAAGTAAGTAAGTAAGTAAGTTTATTCAGGTATACACAAATACAGTTACATAGAATTATCATACATAGCAGCATATGTGTAGAGAACCTAGGATAACCCAAAAAAGTCAGACAGAGTGACTTATTTCCAAGGTTTAAAGTAAATTCTCAGCCTATATACACTGAGAGAAATACACCTCTATCCGCAGGCTGTAAAAAAAATTATGCAGAATATAAATATAAACTTACTTAGGATAAGGACACTTATGTACAGTTCAGGATGGTTTAAAAAGACACGTAAGAAGACAATATGACATATTTATTTGAAAACATTCCGGTCCTGGGACCTTGATCAAGGTCCCAGGACCGAAACGTTTTCAAATAAATATGTCATAGTGTCTGCATACGTGTCTTTCTAAACCAACTTGTCTGTATTTATTACCAAGGTTTATACCACAGTTCAGGATATTCACTAAGTGTCCTGAAGCGTACATAATTATCCTCATCCATCTTGTCGATATATTCCTATCATTTACAACCATAAAATCATTTACTGATGGCGAGGCATTGTTTCCCAGAGTCTCCCCTGTAACTCCATCAGAGCTAACGTTCTCTCTAATGGCGCATAAAAGTCTCGCGCAGTATAAATAGAATACTTGAACCACTGCTGTTCACTTTTATTGGGTGAGAGAAGTGACCTTCACACAAGTTGACATTGTTATACGTCCCAGGAGACTCGTGTGCACTAACTAGATTGTACAAGTTGTTGTTGGATTGTTTTATGCAGTCAAAATAGCCAGTGCTAAATAGACACACTAATTCCAAGACGAAGAAATGTTGGAGAACGAGCTTTCAATGGGACAATGTTTGCTCTGTTTAGAGCTTTATCAAGCTCTAGGCCAAGAGCGGTAGTTACCTTCAGGCCCAAACTATCGTGTGGGCGGTAGTTAAGTTCACAGGCACTTAATGGGTCCAGGGACTGTGCCCCAGTTAGAAAAGCCAATTTTGGAAACAATAAACTGCTTCAATAAATAATTGAGTACACGATGACTGTTTACTTAAACATTTACAGAGACACACTGGTGTAACGAACTGTTAAATAGACTCTTTTGATTAATTAACTATAGTAAATAGTAGGCCTACTGGCTACTACAGTGGGCAGATGTAGGTTGCCTCGTAGCTCAGTAGTAGAGGTTCGGTTCACACTGTCTTTCTTGGATTATCCTGGGATATTAAGACCCCGGGTTAATAGGATATGTTATACTAGAATTTCATATTAAGATATACGTGTGACGAACCTATTCTGGTAGTACGGATTTTGTGTTTAAAATTATATATGCTACAGTGAGGAGCGGCTACCCTGATCTATGTAACATTTTGCAAAGTTAGGGCAAGAATTATATTTAACACTCATCACGCAGGGGAGTTTTCATCTATGTAACTACAGGAGGAGTTCCCTGTCATGTACATTTAGCAAAGTTTGCTTTTTCAGCTACATCACGCAGGACAGTTTTCCTGTCATGCTACATCACGCAGGACAGTTTTCCTGTCATGCTACATCACGCAGGACAGTTTTCCTCTCATGCTACATCACGCAGGACAGTTTTCCTGTCATGCTACATCACAGGACAGTTTTCCTTCATGCTACATCACGCAGGACAGTTTTCCTGTCATGCTACATCACGCAGGACAGTTTTCCTGTCATGCTACATCACGCAGGACAGTTTTCCTGTCATGCTACATCACGCAGGACAGTTTTCCTGTCATGCTACATCACGCAGGACAGTTTTCCTCTCATGCTACATCACGCAGGACAGTTTTCCTCTCATGCTACATCACGCAGGATGCGGCCCGGTTATAACCCCTCACACTGGATAGTTTACCTATCATAAGCCATCGCATAAGATTGTTTTCCTTGCTTTCCTGTCATGTTTTGTCATACAGGATAGTTTTTCCGGTCACACTTTCTCACAAGACAGTTTCTCAAAAAATGTTTACCTAAGTTGGAAAGCTTCAATAGGGCGATGAGGATATCGTCAAGCACTCCAATGTAAGCTTCAGAGGTCCCCTTCAGCAGAGCTACACAATACATAGTTATTCGGAGTTAGTGGAAAGGATGAAGATATCTTCGCAGCAACGAAAAAAAAAAAAATATCCTGTCTGACATCTTACAAATACACAGACGCATAAGGAGGCAAGATATTTGTAATGAATTAGTGAAATGCAAAGCAGAGTAGCAAGATGCAGATGGATAAACAATACAAGCAGCACAATTTGTAATGTAATCTATCTGTAAGTTAGTATAGTACAGAATGACAACACTTTACTAGGTTATCATACGTTAAATGTACATAATTTATCACCACTATGTGCCTACATCATCTCTGTGCCTTCAGAACTGTTGTACATGTATATACTATTATCTGAAGTAAGTAACAAGCACTGCATACAGAAAAGTTAGGCGTAGGCTGGCCGGGAGCATTATAAAGCCTTACTGAAGCAATGCAAAGCTTTGTCAAACTTCAGTGAAGCTAGACAAAGCTTATCAAGCATCGCTGAAATTAGATAAAGCTTATTAAGCCTCACTGAAGCTAGACAAAGCTTTATCAAGCCTCACTGAAGCTAGACAAAGCTTTATCAAGCCTCACTGAAGCTAGACAAAGCTTATCAAGCCTCAGTGAAGCTAGGCAAAGCTTATCAAGCATAACTGAATTTACATAAAGCTTATCAAACCTCATTGAAGCTAGACAAAGCTTTATCAAGCCTCACTGAAGCTAAACACAGCTTTATCAAGCCTCACTGAAGCTAGAAAAAGCATATCAAGCCTCACTGAAGCTAGAAAAAGCTTATCAAGCCTCATTGAAGCTAGAAAAAGCTTATCAAGCCTCACTGAAGCTAGAAAAACCTTTAGCAGGCCTCAATGAGGCTTACAGTTAATTGTAGCCTAAATAAAATACCCAAATATCGCAACTGAGTAAATTTACTGTAAGTATTGTGTGTATACATACATCATTCATACTCTCAGAGCTAGAAGCAACAAAGTGACATAGAAGCATGCACACTGCATTCCATATATGATAGTGGCCCGGTGGCCTGGTGGCTAAAGCTCCCGCTTCACACATGGAGGGCCCGGGTTCGATTCCCGGCGGGTGGAAACATTTCACACGTTTCCTTACACCTGTTGTCCTGTTCACCTAGCAGCAAATAGGTACCTGGGTGTTAGTCGACTGGTGTGGGTCGCATCCTGGGGGACAAGATTAAGGACCCCAATGGAAATAAGTTAGACAGTCCTCGATGACGCACTGACTTTCTTGGGTTATCCTGGGTGGCTAACCCTCCGGGGTTAAAAATCCGAACGAAATCTTATCTTATCTCTCTTATAATTTTAATCAATGCGATATTATGTAGAAGATTACGGGTATGTTAGTCAGTTGAAAAAAAAAGTTTTGAGTGCTATGCTTTTATAATGTCTAACTTCCATACAAAGGTAAAAAATAATATTTGGATATAAGTTTCAATATCTTCAATGGATATATTTTTGTATTAAAATGTGACTGCGATGATTTTCATAATAAGATTCTGAGTTTTGTAGTGACGTTGATTCGTGGAGAAGCGCTGAGCTCGCTGAGGTCATATATAGCTCATAGGAGAATGGGAAGTAATTAGGTATGATCCCGGAAGGGAAGGATTGCCCCAGTTTCTTGGATCAAGAGCCCGTCACTAACATAAAGGAACTTCCCCCTGAGAGGCAACTAATATTGAAAACTCCCGCTCTCACCTCTTTCAATTCAAGGGGGAACACTAGCGCTCTTAAAAATAATAATTTACTCAACTTTTAGATTGCGCATGCAATTTTGTTAAGTTAACATAAAAAAACTTGGAAACTACTAATGAATAAATAATTCTTATTTATTTATGTGTTCATAAGTTGGAAGACGATAATATTGGAACATTACTAAGTTCTCTAGTGCCCCACCAACGATTTCCATGATACACAACCACATTATCTAAAATAATTAATTCTTACTTTTTTCATCTACAGTATTTAATAATATATTTGAGCAATGATTGATTATTTTTTTCAGACTTTTCATTGTGTTGATTGCTACTTTTATTAATAAAATATATAGGATACGCAGTTTTCAGTATATAAAAACTTTACAAAGAAAATAAAGAAAGGCCATTAATTTAACTAATGACATTATTTATTAGTGTATAATCATATAAATCTTAAATTTAATTGTCCTGATGCATACCACAAAAGCGAAAAAATATAGATTTAACCGTAACAACGGCACTTCTATAGCTATTTAAGAAGGTAAAACAAATTTAAGTGACAAGCACATTTAAAACAAATTGCAAAACTAGTTTGTCATGCCATAAAGTAGTGAATACTAAATTAATTTAGGCCAGGGTGTTGGTCCTGGTTATGATGGTGGGGTTGGTCAGTGAGGTCTGGTCTCCATGACGGGATGTGTTGATGTTAACTTGATGCTCTAACTTCTCCACGAAATGCCGCTCCAGATGCAAGGAGGCCTTATGCAGGTCAGTATAATGCCGCACCCGGGACACCCCACGGCCTATAATACCCTAGAGCGAACACATAATTCCAGTGATGACCTTTTAGCATATGAAGGTACGAGAAATATTTGTGTGGTTGGACTTAGGAAAGCTGCCCGGTGCTTTATTACCATCTTTTACACACTTTTATTTGACTAGTATTTTCTTTCTGGCTCTATGAAGGGCCATGGGACTTTGACCTCTATTGTGTAGTTTGCTTTTAGAGGTGTGTGGTATATTTGGCTGAGTCACCTGGGTGTGGATCTTTTCTTCGTGAAATCGCGATAATAACAAATAAAAAAAAAAAAAAAAAAACACTCGAGAATATAAGATTATTGGTGTCTTAAGTCACAGTAAGTGCAAAGATGTTGCCTTAAGTGCAACCCAAGATGGAAATTCTGTTTTCCTTACTCGAGTTAGTTTGTGATTTATGAGTGTGAATGTCTGATGAGTCTCAAGATTATATGTTAAGTTATACTGACCCTGATAGTTTTATATACCTCTAACTACTTAGATTATTGGCACGTTGAGTTATCTGTTTTATGAGAACCTTGTAAACTGATTACCAGTGGTCTAACAGGTGTTCCCAACTCGCCAATCAGTTTGAAGTCTCAGATTTGTATTCCTATGGGCAAAGAAATTCTCCATACTTGTATATACATATATAGTCGGTTTATTAGCACTCGCTAACCTAATGTAACATAACCTAATATACCCTAATATAACCTAAATTATTTGAATAACTCGTGGTTATGTTGTATTAAGTCGTTGCATTTGTCACTTGGATGACTGAGGGCTGTGGCTTGGAAATTTGGTGATTTCACCATATTCTACAAACCAACACTAATAGCTGTCTGTCTTAACTGATAGCTATGCCTGTAGTGGAAATATGTCACATGTTTGACTTCATTGGGTTGTCCTAGGTTAAGTCTTCATAAGAAGACTGTACTATGTATGTTCTGAGCATCTGTCTTGAAAACAATTTAAAAAATTCTTCTTTCAAACCATTTGTAATGTTATAAATCAAAACTTACTCTTATCAACTGTATGACCCTTATGGGTTTAGCACTTTAGTGTTGATTATAATAATAATAATACTCCTACCAAGATATTTGACTATCTCTCATTACTAACTCCCAGTCAGGTGGAAACATTGGGTGTGTTTCCTTACACTTACTATCCTTGTTCACCTAGCAAGTAAGTTGGTACCTGGGTGTTAGTCGACTGGTGTGGGTCGCATCCTGGGGGGACAAAGATTGAAGGACCCCAGTGGAAATAAGATAGACCTTGATGATTCACTGACTTTATTGGGTTATCCTGGGTGGTTAACCCTCTGGGGTTAAAAATCTGAACAAAATCTTATCGTGCCACTAGCAAGATCACTTACTCGATCTATTTATAGACCACCAAGCTGATTTTAGTTAAAACACAACAGGTTTTCTGGCTGATAGAAATACGGCACACTGAGCATTTGAAGCTGTTTGATCGGCAGCCAGATGCACAAACACAGATACTGAACCATGTTGCCACAAGTGCCATGTTTGTTTATTTTCAATATGCTCATTGGTGGTTACTCAAGGGGTAACCACAAATAAGCTGATGCTCTTGATCCAAAGAACTGGAATCATTTTCTCCTCCTTTGGATTGAACTTTAATGAATCATTTTTCTCGGGTGCTATATGATCACAGCAGGTTTAATATCACTATAAATACACCTATTGGCTACTGTGAAGTAGGTCCTACTACATTTTATTACCTGAGGCCGTTTCATAGATAGCTTTGTTTATTCAGGTGTGCCTTTGTTTTCATTGTCATTTTGCTAAATATACAAATCCTAAATTGGAAAATAAACCAAAGTCTTTGTTCATATTGTGATAATTTTTGTTATGATTGCCAGTATTACAACAAGCATTTTAGAGAATATTTAGAGATATGGCTAAACAAGGTTTAAATAAATGACATGGGGAAATTTCCCTTAGTGGTTGATCAGGTCCTGGTCCACCGGGAGGCCTGGTCGTGGACCAGGCTGCAGGGGCTTTGTTCCCTGGAATACCCTCCAGGTAGTGTCATGAGGATTGATGTCACCTCCAGGACTAACCCCTGAGAATTACAGGATTCATTATAGTAATATTTTACATTGGAGTTTATTATATATTACAGTATATGCAGCACCAGTAAGTTTTGTAATAAAAGGTGCATGGAATTTACATTAATTTTTACATTTATTTCAGAACAATGTAGAGCCCATGGTAATCGATATGGCAGTGGAGGAAAATGACAACACGGAGGAAGAGCCAGTAATTGTGGAGAGCACCTCACTTGTAAGTGTGGCTCATTGTTACTTTGTTATTCTTTTATCAATAGCTTCCATTCTTTTGGCTCAGGTTACTCTAGAGATGCAACTGTCAAGTTTTAAGGAAATTTTTGGATGTTGACTAAAATGCATTCTTAATGCAGGTGACAAATGAGCTTGCATTGATAATGCATTTCAGCACTAAAATTTCGGGTTTTTGTTCAGTATACCCATGGTTATCAGTCACTGTACATGTGCTTTGTACTATTTGAAAGTTAAGAAGTGAGTTAGAGCTAGAACTCACTCACTGCAAATTCAAATATTTAATTACCCGTACTGCTGGTAATTCTTTGGTTGCTGTTCAGCTTGATGGAGTCACTAATATCTTGTATAGAATGAAATGCAATGAAATTGGTATTTTTATCACCCTGTACTGTATAATAAGAGCAGTTTAGTGTGTAATGGGCAGGCATTTTTTTGTGTTGAATTATTTAATTCTTGAAATTCATATTTGGTAGGTACAGAATGTACTGTATTTAGACTTTCTTTATCAGTAATCTGATATAAAACTCCACAGGATTTAGAGACTTACGCCAACTGCTACAGTGGCCTTGCAAAGCTACAGCGACTTGTTTTTATAGCCGATCGATGTCCTCAGTTACGTGTAGAAGCCCTTCGAATGGCCATACATTATGTCCAGACAACTTACAATGTCAACCTATATACTCAACTCCACAGGAAGATGCAGGAGGCAGTCAGGTATACAGAGTTCTTTGAAGTATTAGTGCAGTTTTTTTTTTTTGTTTGTATTCTGTAGTGTAACTTACAACTTTTTATTGTAAATAATGCTCCCTTTCTTTCACATATACACTTAAATTACAGTAAATCTTCAATGTAATGGACTAATGTCTAAGTGTCCAGTAAAACAGAATAATGTTTAAAAATGGCAGAAAAAGCACATTAAGTACTCTACACTTAATATATCAATGTAACCTCGAATTAGTTATATTACAATAAACACTAACAATAAATGAGTTAAAAGTATAGTTTACCCACTGGATTTTGCTCATTATTTTTAAGTTTGTTATATCAAGGTCCATTATATTGAGGGGTTTTCTGCATGTAAATTGTCAGATAAGTACAGTGGACCCCTGGTTAACGATATTTTTTCATTGCAGAAGTATATTCAGGTGCCAGTACTGACCGAATTTGTTCCCATGAGGAATATTGTGAAGTAGATTAGTCCATTTCAGACCCCCAAACATACACGTACAAATGCACTTGCATAAATACATTTACATAATTGGTCGCATTGGGAGGTGATCGTTAAGCGGGGGTCCACTGTATTTGTAATTTTTCTTTTCCATACCATTTATCATACATATCTGCAACATATTTTGTTCATTAGTTAATATTATCTGCAAAACTAATTTATCTGAAGTGATGTCTCTTCACTCTGGGAAAATCTTCAAGACCAGTTTACTCTACTTTTTTTTTTTTCTCTCTCTCACTCCAACAAATCAGCCGTATCCCACCAAGGCAGGGTAACCTAGAAACAAAAACTCGAGTTTCTCTTCATAAAATTAGTAATATATGCAGGAGAAGAGATTACTAGCTCCTTGCTCCAGGCATTTTAGTCGCCTCTTACGATACACATGACCCCTCGAGGAAGGTTCCTTGACGCTGGTGAGGGGCTCTCGATCTAGGGAATTTGATCTGCTCTGGTTCCCTGAATTAAGCCTGAATACCTTCCACATTCCCCCCCCTCCCCACAGGCGCTGTATAATCCTACAAGTTTAACGCTTTCCCCTTGATTATAATAATACGATATGCATGGTTATTTTGTTATTGTGTTTATGAAACTGACAGTGTTGCTCAATCCATGAATGTCTTTGATGTCTTGGTTCCAGTTGGAGCTCTCATTTCTGGATGACTTTGGCTTGCAGACAATTCAAAATGTTATTTTAAAAAATTCATATGCAGTGCATATTTGACTGTCACATAGTGCAGTAATTGCCACTTACCTTAAAGATGAGCAGGATTTTTATTAACATAATAGTCTTCCACTAAGGCAGGGTGATCCAGAGAAGAAAAGACATCTTTTCCTTCTCATTTTAGTTATACAGAAAAAAGTATAACTTACCTCTTGCTTTTTATTATTTTTTTCCATTTTGGTCTCCTATGACACACATGGCTAAAGGCAAAAAGTAGTAGTATAGAAATAATCATTCCAGTACTGTGCCCAGAAACATTTGGAAGAGTAAAGATAATGCAATAAAGTAGAAATTTGTAATGTTTACCTGCTATCTTGCATGATTGAGACAGAAAAGATCAGCAATCTTGTCTGAGTGCAGAACATTAAAGTCTTACGTTTCACTCATGACAACAGCAGTACATCCCTGGATGATTGTAGTCTGCCAGCCTACTACCTATAGGAATAAAAATGTGGCAAAAATTGTGATTGTCTTGGTACATAATGTGCATGTACATTCTAGTGAAAAAAGATATGGAAGGGGGGGGAGAATATAAATTGAGCAAGTAGAGAATGTGTGTTCATCACAAGGGGCAAAATAGATGCATAGGAAATATAATGGCTCACCAGTTATTGCTGCAAGTGAGTGTCGGCTGAGAAAAGAATTGTCATATGGTGAAGGGGTAACCATGATGCTGCTTAGCCCCGACAGTAGTACATTCCTGGGCTTCATGGATGACTAGAGCCAATTGGTCTACCTAAATTTTACTGGTAAACATAATTTAGGTAGTATTGGTAGGCCAGGTCACCTCTCATAGCAGTAATGGTTGATTTGTTAATTTCCTCAGTCCCACTGAACAGGCTATGTGACTGCATTTTTTTTTTTTTTAAATAATGGTTTTGCTGTAGCTGCTGCAGCAAATGTCTAAATTTATTTTACATTTTAAAAATAAATATTACAAGTTTATATTTCTTTACAGTGGAGCCAATGCAGGAAATGCGAGTCTACCAGATATAGCAGGTGGTCAAGTAGGGAGTGGAACAGTAGCCAATTTACCTGCCCTTGACATGCAGTGGGTTGAATCTCGGGCCAAAAAAGCTGCATTGAAATTGGAGAAACTTGATACTGACCTCAAGAATTCTAAGGTAAGTTTCATATAGAGTACATTTTTTATATATACAAGGTCTACGGAGAATAATTTTTTTTACTAGAAAAACATACATGAGTTTTTATGCACTATTAAATACAATATTGCATACCTTAAAAGATGGAGTAAGTGTTTGTTATCATATAGACAAAATCCTATTTTCAAATTATCAGGTAGAAGTGAAGAAAGGTATTTTAATACTTTATTTTGTTAATAAAGTTTATTCTTTAGTGAGAGACCCATCTCAGTTTACTTGTATTTTCACATTAAGGAAATTGTTCTCTGCTGCAGTGCCAGTTACATGATACCAACCGATATCCCTGACAATCTCTTAGGAGTATGAGTGCTTTTTGGATTTTTTTTTTTATTTTTTTTTTTACTGTGTAGCCATCTTCCACTAAGCTATGGTGCCTCATAAAAGGAAATGTATTCACCATCAATTATTCAATAGTGCTCTTGACAGAAGTTCATGGACATCACATTTAAAATGACTTCAGACTGCAGCATTCCCATCCCTTCAAAGTGCCCTCACTGTGCAGTACTTTTTACCTTCAGGACCCCGAGATCGGCTAACCGATTTCCCCGAGTCCTTTTATATATGTTGCCTTTGCATATATAATTGTATTCTAATTGGAGTTGCAGTTTTGAAGCTTAGTGTTTCATTTTCATAGCCTATGTAAATTTCATCCTGAAACACACAATTTGCATAACTTAGTCTGTAATATTGTGATAGATCAGAACTAACTTGTGGCTAATGTCTGACTGAAGAAAATGAGTGAAAATGTACCATTGTATAGGTCTGAAGGGTATTGCTTAACATACTGTAATTTCATAATTTATCTTTCAAACTCAGCACAGTTGTACCCCGAGTTTCGACCATAATTCATTCCAGAAGGCTGTTTGAGTGCTGTTACCGAACGAATTTGTTCCCATAAGGAATATTGTAAATTAGATTAGTCCGTTTCAGGCCCCCAAAAATACACTTACAAAAGCACTTACATTAATATGCTTACATAATCATTCAAGTTGGGAGCTGTACGAAACTCGGAGTACCATTGTATAAATAGCTTAGTTACTTACACCGAGATGATTAGTAGAAAATTTTTGCTTGTAAAAAAAATATGTATTATAGAAAATTATATATATCAGGGAAAATCCAATATTCTTTATTTTTCATTCAATACTGCATTTCCAGGCATACTTTCAATAGCTTACAGCTTTACTTTATTATGGTAGTGTAAAGTTGCATCTTATTATCAGCATTGATACTTGATGAAAATGGGTGTGTTCAGATGGACTGAACACAGACTCCAGGCTGAGGGACTGATTACCTCAAACTCCTCCTCTCCTTACACCTTTCTACTTTGTATTGGACTGATGAAGCCACTGTATGTCAAAACATTTCCTCAGTAAAGATTCCCATATGTTGCATAAGTGTCTCAATCTTCAACTTGTCGGTTTTCAAAATCATTCATCACAAAAGCAGGTGTGAGTATAGTTTTGGCATGGTTGGTATGAAAGGGAAAGAAGGTACCTAGGGAGTATGCATAGTTCCTTTGTATAAAGGAAAAGGGGATAGGAGTGTAAGAATTATAGGGGAATAAATTGAGTATGCTAGGTTAAGTAGATGGTAGTTATTATTTGATAGAATTAAGAGCTAGACAGAAAGCAGGATCACAGATGAACAGGGTTTTCGGGAAGGTAGGTGATGTATAGATAGTGATTACATTGAAGCATATAAGTGAACAATACTTAAAGGTAAGAAAGTTTTTATTGCATTTATGGATTTAGAAAAGGCATATGAAAGAGTGGATAGGGAAGCAGTGTGGCAGATATGGAATAGGTGATAGGTTATGTAAAGTAGTTAAGTATTTTTATGAGGATAGTGAGACTCAGGTTAGGGTATGTAGGAGAGAGGAAGATTATTTTCCAGAAAAATAGGCCTTAGACAAGGATGTGTGTTGTCTCCATGGCTGTTCATTATATTTATTGATGGGGCTTTGAAAGAGGTGAATATTAGGGTGTTGGAAAGGCATGGAATTAAAAGATATAGAATCTAACAAAGTGGGAGTTGTCACATTTGCTATTGCTGATGACATGTGTTTGGGAGATTCTGAAGAGAAGCTGCAAAGGTTCGTAGATGAATTAGAAGGGTATGTGAAAGAATGAAATTAAAAGTGAGCAAAGAAAAGAGCAAGGTGGTGAGAATATAAAAAAAAAAATTAGGTAATGGAAGATTGAATATCAGATGGAAAGGAGGGAGTGAGGAGGAAGTGAATGTGTTCAAATGTTTGGGAGTGGACTTATTGATAAAAGGGGTTATGAAAGATGAGGTAACTCATAGAATCGATGAGGAGAGGAAAAAGGTAGGTGGTGCATTAAGGCATCTGTGGAGACAACCTTATCTATGGAGACAAAAAAGGGAAATATACCAGAGCATAGTTGTATCAACACTGTTATATTGATTTTGGATAATATTTTATGATGACAGTTTTAGGAACTAATATTTTTCATTTTCAGAGGTGGAGATCTGTGTTTCCAGACATCTTGACAATACTTCGATCAGTTTAGTTCATATTTGAAACACACTTGATGTCTTGCTTTAGCAGTGGTGCTACTACCCTCTTGGCTCATTCTGGTTACTGACATTTTGTATGAACAGTGCTCAGTAAATTTAGAGTAAATATGAAAAAGCTGCAAATGCATTGTGCATTACAAAAAAGGTTTTTGGGAATTTTTGTCCTTTTGTCAGTTTTGAGAATGATTTTTTTTTTCTTTTTTTTAATTTTCAATGGAGCTTCTGAATTCAATTTCATATGGCACTTTGATTCATTCTTCTGAAATTTATACTGTACATGCTTTGGCCTCATATTGTAAGCTGTCTTATTCTGAGGTGATATTTTCTCCTGGTATCTTTTTAAGGAGCTAATATCTAGACAGTGCTTAGCTAATATGCATTAAAACTTAAAATGCACTGTATTTGGCATTGTGCATTTTTTCTTGCCACTTGCCTTGACACTTGGTTTTTAAGGACAGGAATTTATCAGATGTTCTTTTCTGTTTGTTGACCATTGTACTAGCCAACATGAGAGATACTGTACTCAGAAAGTAGCAGTCTGATATAGCATGATAGTCAGATTAACCTAACTGTTGTAAACTACCTGGGAAAATCTTTAGCTTACATATGAACTTGGACTGTCTTGAGCTAAATCTCTCCATGTTCTTTTCTTGCTCATTACAGGACCACCATGTGAAACACAAACATTTTCTTCTTATTATCCCAAATAAGGGTCTATGGTTAGCATCTGTCATATCTAACAAATGCCCAGTCTGTGGCACTCAAAAGGGGGCTAAGATGCTGGATCTAGGAATTTGTTCTGCTGCCAATTTAATTTTGAACTCCATTAGTAGAAGTAATTATACCATTCATGATCTAGTCTCCTTAGGAAATCACTTGCATTTTTCTGTGTGGGACATTGCCATCAAGTACTGTCTTGTAATCTTTTCCTCACCAAAAATTTGGCATACAATTGTTTTCATTTATCCATTTTCTATTTCTCAATATGGCATGTTTTCTTTATTATGTTTTAATGTTTACACTTGTTGCTAAAAAGTGTTTGTGCTTTTTGCAATACTATATTTTTTAATAGTGTTCTAGTTACTGATGTCTCAGATCTTCAAGTCAAACTTTGGTGAATTTTGTCTCAGTCTGTCTCCTACTTTTAAATTCACCCAAACTTTCAAACTATTCTCACCGTCAATTCGGCAAGAAAATATTTTTTCTCCTATTATTGAAGTCTGTAAATGATGCCTTAGCAGGACATTGCTTGGCCTTTTTTCTTCAACAGGAATCATCACTTTCAGACAAATCTGTTGGTTGAGGATCAGCTACACACACCTAACCTATAGCCACCTGTTCATGGGCTCTCCTGTCCCCTAGCTTGTGATGTCACCAACTGTGGATCATATTTTAACATTTTGCATTCAGCTTAGGCCTTTCTGACATAGTTTTTATAATTACTGAGCTTCTTGTAGGTCCCTCAGGGCACTTCTTGGAGAGTCTTTTGACATTACTAATTTATCCCTTTCACTCATGTAGATCTGTTTTAATCCTTGTGCACTCAGTTATGCTGTAATTGGTAAATTTTGAGCTATACATGACAGAATGGGTATACTATACAGTTGGTGTGTACAGTATAAAAAATATTCGTGCCTCACACAGTGCATGATGGAAACAGTTAACCTCTGTGTGTAGCTTAAAACATAATAGAAAACCTACTAGTGAAATGGAGATGACTTTGGTAGGTTTCAGACAAAATGGCTTGAAATAAGCCTGAAAGTAGTGGAAATATTAAATTTTTGGCAATTTTTAGTGAGGAGGGCTAGGGTCCCTGTTATTTTTCCCCCCTCTGTCTAGTTATGGGTTTTTCTAGGTCTGCTTCAGTTACTGGGAGGGCCTAAACCATGACCAATCATTCTTAGTTATAGTTTATTTGCAAAGAAATAGGGCAAAGGTTTTTTTTTTTCTCTCTCTCTCTCTCGTGATGAACTTATAATGGAAGGAGTGTTATACAGGAGAGGCCTGGGGATGTAATTAGTGTAAAGAGGAAAGATTATTTTAGCTGTTAGTGTGAACGTGTTTGTTTGGTGATTCTGGTAGCGGGGAGTAAATGATACGTCATCGGAGGCTTGTTACTTTATTTGCAAAGTAGTGGTGGGTACACAGGCTTGTGTGTTGTGCCCATGGCCCGGGAGGGCCATGCCCACGAGGGGGAGAGAAGTGGACACTTCTTGACTGAGTGAAGGGTGTCACCAGAGTGAGGCAGAGGCAAGGGTAGGCAGGCTGGCATGCCCACCGAGAGGCCTGGCTACAGAGGGCAGCACCTTAGTGCTGCGAAATATGAGCTAAGCTGGCAGACAGCAAGGCTGTCTGTGCAGACAGTACAGGCTGTCTACACTAGAATGTCTGGAGTGTTTATTTGGGATTCTGTTTATACA